TCCATGACATATTTAATATTATTTATCTGCACATGGTGATGCCAATTGGTGCTAACTTCTGTTAGACAATTGATAATGAAGTAGTAAAAACATGCAAATGTCATGAATTTGCGTAGAGATGGGTTAACTTCCGGGAGATTTGTGCTTTTTTGAGTGGCGGGAGACCGTCCTCGTTTCTGGGGGACACTGCAACTTTCGGGAGACTTGGGACTCTCCTGTTATGTATTTTTTTTCATTTTGTGTCTACAGAATACTATTATATTTGAAGCCATGGTATAAAATTGTATCAGTTTGGAAATATAGTATAAAAATAGGAGAATAACCCAGAACTTGCAGCGTCATAGTCCTGAAGTGCATATGGGTGAGGTCCATAGCAGCCGTAAAGAGGTGCTTGTAGTGGCTACATGTTCACATCATTCCACAATGACAGGGGCTGAGATTAACCATAGCATTAGGGTAACCCCCCTACTCTTCAAAAAGATGCAATGGGTTCTTTAAATTGCAAGAAGACTTGGTTCTACCAACCAAACCCTGGGCGAGGAGTAGCTCCAACCAAACCCCCTGGACGAGGAGTAGCTCCAACCAAACCCCTGGGCGAGGAGTAGCTCGAACCAGCGCCAATGTTTTTCTGAAATTAATAGTTAACAAAGTGCAAAATATGAAAGTGTACAAAATAACACATTCAAACATGTAATAGAAGAAAACCTAAAACTGACATATTATATGTAAATTTATCACAATAAATATACAAGTACTACAAGTACAAGTACTTGTAGTAGTACAAAAGTACTTGTAATAGTACTGTAATACAGTATTGTTCTTTATATTAAAACATTTTGGAGGTAAATAAAAAATTTTATAGAATCATAAAACTTAAATATAATTATACTTTATATTTATATATATATACACTATATTATGTTGACAACCTTTCAACTTAAAATTTGAAATTTTTTACCATGCTTGTTTAGTTATTATATAAATATTATAATAATAATAATTATATATATAATATATATGATACACTAAGAGCGCTATATATATATATATATATATATATATATATAAAACTATATTAATAATAATAATAACTATATTAATAATATGCAATATTCTCTTGTTCATTGTAAGTATTTATAAGTAGAAATTTGTGTTCCATATATTCATAATGTGTATATACAGTATTGTATACTGTAAATGTTTATTCTATTCTTTGGTCTGACAGCTGTTCTTTTGTGAATTATATTAATTCATAAGCTGTTCCTGACCTATTTTATTAACTTGCTTTAATTTTTAATGCTACTGTATGTGTATTTTGATGACTAAAAAATAGATAATATTTACTGTATATTACAAAATGATAATATTCTGTATTTATTTAGGTTAAATTACGTCAAAAAAAAGGTTCAGGCAGGTCACGCAAAGACCGGCATGTGTCGTGTGTTGACCTTGGTCCAGGACAATATGAAGGTTGGCTTGAGAAGAAGACTGACACACGGTTTGGTACAAAATGGAGTCGGGTTTGGTGTGTGCTAAAAGACTTTGTCTTCTATTACTACAAGAGTAAGAAGGTGTGTAGGAAGCCATGAACATGTGACATAACTATATATTATGGTCATGATGACATCACATTATGACCATATATAGGCATATAACTGTTTTTCTCAAATAAAATCTGATATTTTGGACAGGGTTTAGAGACTTGGTTTTGCTTTAAAACTAAATTATGATAACAAAATACAGCTTTATATTTATTATAATAGGTATTTTTTTGCATTTAATGTTTTCCTATAAACAGTCATGTCATTTTATGTAACTTTTCCCCATAATTTCTTTATTCCTAACAGGATTTGAAAGCCAAAGGTATGATATGTTTAGTTGGCTATGAAGTGACTAGTGAGGAAGGCAAGAAACCAAAGTATGTATTCATTTGTTCTTTTAACTTTTACCCTCCATCATCCCACCCACACCCTATACGATCATAAACTCTGCTTTTCCCCACGCCAATGAACTGTTCCCACACACTCAATCTGCATAAACTTTTGCTCTCCTAACATTATCAAGTACTATCCTAAGTTTCATGCTTTGATCACTGTTTTGCAACCTTCATCCTTTATCAACTTTTTAATTCTTTAATTCACCTCAGTTTGTACCCTCCTTCATTTTCTGTTCCTGACCTTTCACTATCCTAACCCATGAATATCACAGATGATATTATGATATTGTCGTAGGCCGGGATTTGAACACAGACACACTAGTACAATGATATGGCTGCTGATCTGTA